CCGCACAGAGAAGCCATTGCCCAATATGGGAGCTGGAAAACCCTTCCCTCCGCTCCTGCCAGACAGGGAAGAATACGTTGTCGAATTTGACGGCAAGGAAGATCCACTGCACGCGCAGAACTGGCCCATGAAGAAGAAGATTGGTATCGGTGCCATCCTAGCCTTCGATGCCCTCACAGCGACCATGGGCAGCAGTATCTTCTCAGCTGCTACCGGAGCAGTGTCACAGCAATTCGGCGTGGCCAATGTTGTGGGTACCCTAGGAACAAGTCTGTTCGTCTTTGGATATGCTTTTGGACCTCTGGTAAGTCAATGCTAGCCACAGAAATGTGACGGAATATGCTAACAACTCTTAGATGTGGGCGCCCTTCTCCGAGTTGTACGGCCGAAAACCTCCCCTCATCATCGCCGCATTCGGTTTCGCCATCTTTAGCATCGCCGTAGCTGTAGCCAAAGATCTTCAGACAATTCTCATATGTCGATTCTTCGCTGGTCTCTTTGGCTCTTCCCCACTCGCTATCGTCGCAGCTGTCTTCGCGGATATGTTTGATAACAGACTTCGTGGACTCGCCGTCGCAGTCTTCTCCGCGACTGTCTTCATGGGTCCTCTACTAGCACCCTTTATTGGAGGCTTCATTACGCAGAGCGATCTAGGATGGCGATGGACCGAATATATTAGCAGTTTCATGGGCTTCCTGTCGTTTGCGCTGCTCTTCTTCTTCATGGAAGAGACATACCCACCCGTGGTACTGATCAACAAGGCGAGCGAGCTGAGGAGACGAACTAAGAACTGGGGTATACACGCAAAGCAGGAAGAAATCGAGGTTGACTTCAAGGAGTTGATCATCAAGAACGTCAGCAGGCCTATGCGCATTCTCTTTACTGAACCAATTGTGTTGCTCATCACTATCTACATGAGCTTCATCTGTAAGTTTGACCTATCCGTCGAGCTGTGAGATACTGGGCTAACAGCACTAGACGGCCTACTCTACCTCTTTCTTACCGCATACGCACTTGTCTTCCAGGGAGTATATGGCTGGAGTGCTGGTATCGGCGGACTTGCATACTTCGGTATGGTTGCTGGTGAAGTCATTGCTTTCATCATCATTGTATGTGACAATCCGCGATATGTGCGAAAGCTGGAAGCCAACAACAACATTCCCGTCCCGGAGTGGCGATTGCCCATCAGCATGGTCGGTGGTGTGCTCTTCGCAGGCGGCCTTTTCTGGTTCGGTTGGACAGGCTACACCGGTCAAATTCATTGGATTGTTCCTGTCCTGAGTGGTCTGTTGACTGGCTTCGGCATCTTCTCCATCTTTCTCTCGCTCCTCAACTACATCGTCGACGCATACCTTATGTTTGCTGCCTCTGCCATTGCAGCAAACACCTTCATGCGCTCCATCTTTGGTGGCGTCTTCCCGCTCTTCGCAACATTCATGTTCAAAGGTATGGGTATTCAATGGGCCAGTACTCTGCTTGGTTGTGTAGCAGCTGTACTTGTACCAATGCCTGTGGTTTTCTATCTATATGGTAAGAAGATCAGAGGCAGGAGCACCTTTGCGCCTGCACCGGATATCGCGCAGGATAAGAGGAGGGACGAGGAGAGCAAAGGTGCTGAAGGCGTTGATGCTGCAAGCGGAGAGACGACTGAGAGGGAGAGCCTGGACAGGGCGAGGAGTAAAGACGAGTAGTGGCTTTGGTTTTGTTTCGACCTCTTCATTTGCATTTAGCGAACATACACCTTTGTAATTCGAAATCATTTCTTCTCCATTACGACGAAACGCTCAGTATCAAAAAGCACAGTCATAAATGAGTTTGCAACAGTATTTGTTGGTTATGTTTCTCCTTCAATAGAGCACGGTCTTTGGTATCAATTCTTCTCTTCTCTCGTTACTACCTGCTTATGGCAGTACGTATCCACCATCGATGATGCAGTCGCTACCAGTCATGTAGCTGGATGCATCGCTACCCAGATACAAGAACAATCCCTTGATCTCCTTGACGTTTCCCTGTCGTCCTAGCGGAATCATCCTCAATCCCTCGTTGATAACCTGTGGTCCGGCACCCATCTTTGTGTCAAAGAATCCCGGGCTCACAATGTTGACCCTGGCAAACTCTCTCCACTCCCTTGCTAGCGACTTGCCCAAATGTGATACAAAGGCCTTTGTGCCGTTGTATATGGGTTGGTCAACGGGGACGTTGACAATGTGTGCTGATATCGAACTTGTGAGAATCAAGTTACCGAATCCTTGCTTCTTGAACACTTCTCCTGCGTACTTGGCGCAGAAAACTGGGCCGTCGACGTTGACCTTCATGAGGTTGTGGTAGCTCTCGAGTGTCTGGTCGAGAAGTGGTTTGCTGTCTCCCGTTCCAGCGTTTGCGACAAAAACATCGATGCGGCCGAAATCCTCGACGACCTGTTGAACCGCTTTTTGCACGGCAGCAGCATCGATTTGGTTTACGCTGTAAGCTTTTGTCTTTACGTTGTGCTCCTTTGCGAGGGTCTCTGCGCGTGTGATGGCTGCGCTGTTGGAGTTGTACCAGAGAGCTACGTTGCCGCCAGCTTCAGCCATGGCGTCGGCGACGGCTCCACCAATTCCTTCAGCAGCGCCGGTAACGACAATTGTCTTTCCTGCCATGCTGAATTGTTGCATGACATTTGTGGGAGTGTTGGGGACAGGCTTGGGGAAGCCAGCGCGAGGCGTCTGGCATTCTTCGATTGACATTGACATGTTTGCGGTTTTGGTGAAGAAGACTTGCTGAAGAAGCACGGGGTATTGGTATAAGAACTTTGAGTAATGGCGAGTGCAGTTCTATATATGAGAAGTCGGAGTCGGAGGTCAAGAGCTTATGTATCTAGACGCGTGAATACGAGCTGCGGCAAGTTTGCCGAGTGAGGCTCAACCGCCGAAAGCTTCGACGGAGCATCCTTTACCCCGCCAAGAGACACATTGAATGGTGTTGCGTCACGGGGTGGTGTTGCGGGGCAGTCTGGAGGACTGTCGTCCGGAGTCGGCGGGATGATTCCCGGCTTTGGTTGGTGTCCGGGGTGGTCGGCTTACCTTCCTTCTGAATTTGCGCGGGATCCTACGTCGGGTGTCTGCTTACGACTGCCTTCCTTCTGTACCGTGCGAAAATGTTGTATAGAATTCTCCACTCGCATGCGACTCTTTGTCGATGTTTCCAACTCGTAAGATATGTTCAATAGGTCCGATGCTACAGCTACGACCACTTTTCCGCATGCACCAATCACAATGCCGGTGTCATTCGTCTTTCTTCACCAACTGTGTATCTGCGATTGATTGATGAAACCGCTTCTGTAGTGGCAAAAGATGGAGTGACGAACTTGTAAAACACATGAAGGAGCGCACTTTATCAATATTATGCGAGCTGTGAGAACACGTGTCTCAAGAGTAGGTATTGTTGCTTTTCTGTTAGCGCCTCATTCTAGGCCATCATTTGTACGATTGGGACAGGCCTTCGTGTTCTGGAGACGAAGGTTGTTGTGCAAACGGAGAGTTCAAGGTTGTCACTGCCTCTAATTTCCAGATCCTTTCCTTCACGTCCTACACATGAACAGTACAACAAATAGATGTGAGCAGTGACCTTGTGCGGGTCCTTCCTGGCATCGCGCTCAACATCTCATCATAAAACTACAAGATGGTCTTTCCATTTCTTGAGCTCGCAGCGGGTAAGCGCAAAAGTGGCAGTCACGCTAGCTGTGGTATGTCAATTAACAAAAGCAGAGCTGCGCAACCGCATCTACCACTTCTTAGCCGTCCATGAGGAAAGACACGTGCGGATTCGCAAGGCCGATGAAGTATCCGGAGTCTTCGCTGGGCTTACGGGCGTTTCCCAACAAGTGCGAAGCGAATACCGACCGATACAGCGCAGCGTGACTCAAGTCTCTATATGCTGTAACGACATCAACGACTTTGTCAATACCTTCCTGACAACAGATCAAGACCGCGTCCATCCTTTCGAATCTATCTGCATCTCGGAGCAAAACTGGACTACAAAGTCACAGGATCTCTTGCCTCTTGTCAAGGCAAAGGTCGCAAATTCTGCCTTTTGGTGCAGGTTCGAAGCGGATATAGATCAGCGCGAGGGCGATCCATCGTTGCAAACTTTCGGTCGCATCCAACAGATTGAGTACCAGAGAGGTTGCGTCACGGCTCTGAACGAAATGCTGAACAACGAAAACGCAGGTTGGAGAGGCAAGATAGTGAATGACGAGATCACTGCGCTCAGACTACACATCTGGGCCTTGCCTTTTCATGGCCTCCATGTGTCTTTCGGGTCTGATCACGTTCCCCAGGGGATCATCGCGTTTCGTACAGGTGATGATAAGGAAAAGATGGCGGAGTTTTTCAACCATATGTGGAAGTCTTGGGGGTTCAGTCCTGACTTTAGGAAGTTCCTTGTGGTCAAACACTGCGAAGACGGAATTGATATTGGTCATTATTAAGAGCGTGCTTCGAGTATCGAAGCACTATTTCCTATCGTGTACATAGTGAAGTGGATTGCAGGTGTCTCCAGGTGACAATCATGGACCAACAGCTGGAACTTCACATCAGCAAATACACCCTTCTTTGTATGCAGTAGCTATGGGAAACGCTGACAATGCGAGGGAAAGCACCGCCACGACCACGCGACTACGCCACGCGACATGAGCCAGCTATTGTACAACGATACATTCGATCTCTTGGTCACTCTCAAATCTATAGAACTGTAATTGTAACGCCAAGAGCTGCTGTTCTCTTACCATGAGCTTAATGTCTAGGTGACCTTCGATTCTAGCAATTTCCCCAGTCACCGTCAGAGCAGCTTGGGATAATCATCGTTCGTGCCATCCTCACTCACCTTTACTTGTTGGGTGCATATAACCCCTCCGACTGTCTGCCCTCCTTTACTTCTACACTCAGCAATCGACTATTAATATCCTTGAGCTATTGCAACTTCCCCAAGCACGAGAAGCAAGATCAAACAACTACGAAGCAATGGCGTAAGTTCCAATCCATTGCACGGGGATATGGACTATACTAATACAGTCAGTCCTAGTCGTCCAAGCACTCCGCCCCCTTCGAGGTCTTCTACGAAGTTCAAGCACCCTCCACTCGGCCCTGCTCCGTCAACACCTGGTCCCCGCCAGAATGCTTTCGACGTAACCGCCAATATCATGATGGGTTCCGAGCATGCCATTGTCCCTCCTTCTCCCGGGGTCCCTCTTCCTAGCTTCGAGGCGCTCAGTGTGAGTGCCGCACCTTGGCGAGATATGCCATCCCGTAGGAACAAGAGCAAGGGCAATGCGCGTACTGGCGCTGGCGTCAAGAAGCAGGCCAGAAAGAAATACGACGACAAGACGGCGAAGCTTATGGATGCTGCTCTCAATGAGAAGACCGGTGTCGGTGCTCTAGCTTTGCAGAAGCCTTTCCGATTCATGGATCTACCAGGTGGCAAGTGCTTTACTCCTGAACAACTGTGACATCGGCTAACTCTTGGTAGAAATCCGGAACGAGGTATACATGCACACCCACGGTCGCCCTAAACAGGCTCTCCTAGTATACAGGCCACGCATCGCGTCTCTCCGTCCACGAACCCGTCTAGATCGCGGGCGTACTCTTGCGTCCGACCTCGCTGGTCAAGAACAAGATGAAGAGATCCTGAGCGCCAGCAACAAGTCCGGCCGCTCAGCCAAGTCCAAGGTCAAGACAGAGCTCCGCGAGACCAATCGCCCCTTTTGGGGTCTCACTCAAGTTTGCCGGCAGATGAGGATCGAGTATCGCCCAATCTACATGGCCAAGCAAGAGATTGGCATGGACCTCACTGAGATAGTGGACTATCTGCAGACGTTCTATCCCACCGCTAACGATGTCGTATCCCAGCTCGCACCCCCAGGAGAGCGCCAGAACGACGCGCCCTTTGTCGGAAACCTTACGATTGCTGTAGGCGACAAAGCCAACGATCTTGAGCGTGCTTCAGACGGCATCGAAGTCTTTCCGCTTCTTGACATCTGGTCCAACAGCCTCAAGATAGAAGCTGGGTTTGGACGCTATCTTAAGGCCAACTACATTCCGGAGACTGATGGTGAAGCCAAGGATCTGTGAGTCTTCCTGTCTTTAGCATCATATTAACATGACCACTGACCATCTTGCAGCTATCGTCTCTTTGGCCGCCGCGTGCTCAAGAACCGCTCTTGCTCAAGCATGAACAACCTTTGGCGATCAATTCTTCGCAGCAGGTCTCTCGTTTCAGTCCGCATCCACCGCAAGCCAGCCCCTCGTATTGCTGCCTCAGCCCCAGCTGCAACCTTTGCTGGAGTTCAGCCTCCTATTCATGCTGCGACTAAGCCCTTCATTCACATCGTCTTCAAGACAGACACCGCGGAGCCATGGATGACTGAATTTGAGTCTGTCGTCCCGAAGACACCTACCAATTGGCTAGCGGAGCGCGGCTTTGGTAGCATGGAGTACTTCGAGGTCAAGGTCGGCGTTGAGAAGAATGCCTCCAACTAGCTGATCTATCAGAATTGTCGGCATTTACTTGAACAGTCTGGTGCAACGTTGACATTCTCTTCCACTTGCCGTCCTGATACGGACGCATACGAAAGTCTCTTGGCCCCTGGGCCGATATCCTTACGGAATGTTGGTCGACTTGCTCAGAATTGGTAAGATTTACGAGGTACCATATATGATAGCATACCGAGGTTGATGATGGTCAACGACTATACGCAGGCGACGCGTCTCGCACATCACGCCTTGAGCAACATCTAGCATGAATCAATACTTTGATTAAATATTTCCTAGTTCTCGTCTCCACCAATATAACCGCAGATCTCGGAGGATACACTCAAACAGGTTGTCAAGATGGAGTGGCTGAGGTAGCTTGTTTCCAGAAAAGAAACGTGTGCAGTCTTTTTTATAGCAGCCAATCATACTGTAAGATGCTCCACGAAGTCGTAACGCTTTTGCCACGCTTTTTTTAGGTATCCACAATGCTTCGGACATGAACAAGAGATGCAAACTGTCGATGCATGTCTATATTCGCGCGCATAACGTTTTTCCAAGGACGCCGTGTGTTCATGACCGCACGTGCACGACGTCATGGCTCGCCAACAGCTGCCGCGCCAAACTTCGCTCACGGCTCCGCGCCAACGTTCGTCCCGAACCTATCGCACCGGCTATCTTGTCCCAGGCGCCGCGCTCCCCAAACCCACCTATCTGCAGCGGAATGTGTTCCTTTTCCCCCCTGAACTCGCTACCCTGATGCATGACCCCCTGCATTCGCGAATGAGACAGGGACCGTTCGAAGGGTAGCACAGCAACAGCATGCGCGTCAGGTCATGCTGTGCAGGCTGCAACCCCTCGTTCGCTGCGATGCTTTTCCCGCGAGCAGGGTGGGCTGGTTTTTGATGATACATTGACATCCATTGACGTCTAGACTTCCCGTCTTCTGCTGGTACTGAACCCACAAATGCACCCGAATCCCAGTAGGCCCGTGGTACTGTGAGGTCATCGACCAGGATGACGGCCAGCCGCAAACCTCATACACTACCATAGCTCACCAACCCCTCCCCGGTCGCTCGAGGTTTTATTTGTTCTTGGGCGTTCAGGATATCCAGTCGTGCCGCCCATGTCCCTTTATGTCGTTCAGATGTCACTTGGCCAATAACTTCGACGATACTTTCTGCTGCCACCACACTTCCGAGCCCCAATCGCCTTCTCATCCAGATATGTCGCGACCACAGAGCATGCCTGACTTCGCCGCGCTCATGGAGTCTTCCATGTCGCAGACCGTCTTTGAGTCGTCTAGTTCGAACATAGAGAAGCGCATACACAGCCGAAGACAAACTTCACCCGAACGAAAGCCCCAGCATATGCGCAAGAAGCCTAGTATCTCGCTGGCTGCTGGACTCATGATGAACACCGACACCCCGCCAGCCACTGGATCACTTTCGCCGCGCAAACGAAGCCAGAGCCGACCCGCCCAGGACAAGAAGGTTGAAATGGAAGAGGGTGGGAATCTGTTTTATGCCTATGCGCTGAGAGTGAGTGATGCAATTGCATTGTGTACGAACATCCGGGCAAGAGCGGCATACTGACTTATGCTATAGAGCGACTATCCTGCATCTCCCCCGTACATACTCACATTCGCCTCGGCCGCGGTCTGTTCGCAATGGTGGAGCCTCGTTCAGCAGGAATACACATCGTCGTCGCGTCCAAGCCCGCAATATTTCGTCGTCAGGAGCGAGGACATGGAACTCATTATGGAGGACCCTAAGTTCTCCGACATCCACAACAAGTGGTTCTACACATGCCAGGATAGTCCGACCTGCCCGCCAATAGTTCTGCCCCTGCAGCATGCAAACGGTGTTCCCGCCGTTGCGCCTCCACAACCAGCTGAAGAGAAAATGAGCACATCGGCTCTCGACAGCCTGGCGGAAAGCTTGACCCGACTGGCACACGTAGTGGAAAGCAATGCAGAGCAGGTTCACGCGCTATCGGTTGCGCAATCGACAGGCTTGCAGGCGATGCAAGAGATCAACGAATCGAACAGCATCCAAATCAAGGCCATCTCCGAGTCCCAGATTAAGCTACAAGCGCTGGTCGACCAGAACGCATCGCACTACATCGCCCTTTCGAACACATCGTTCCAGTCGCACGAGCAGAGCAGACTAGCGCAAGAACAGACTCGAAAATCTCAAGAGCAAACACGCAAATCTCAAGAGCAGACTAAAGACATCCTCAAGACCACTGTATCTCAACTCCAGACTCTATCCAAGAACCAAGTCGAGCTTTCACAAACATGTCAGGGCATGATGCGTAGCATCGAGACCCTCGGCGACTCCGTCACTCAGTTCACTTCGAACGTCATCTCAGACACTGCGAGCAACCAGTCACTCTCCACCACTTCATTCAACGCCCTTGCAACTCGCATCAGCCCGCCACCGCGCAAGCTGAACAGACGAGTAAAGGGTGTTTGGTACGAGTACGACAATGTGGGTTCGCCCGACGGCACACCAAGGAAGAGAATCGATTCAGTCAGCGTAGATACCCCGCCGAAGAGCCCGGTCATCTTCAAGCATGTCTGACGGTGGTACGGCTGGCTTCGAAGCATTCGCTTGACACCCCCGACAGAAGAAGAGCTCAATGAGGAAGCACGAAATGCACGACGACCATTACTCGCTGCTTGAAGCCCTTCATATATATATCGTCGGTTAATGATGTTTTCTACCGAAGGATGAGAAGCTCCGCCTAGGCCAGCCGTTTGTGTGGTGCATAATATTGGCGTTTGGAGCGAACGGGCTATGACTGGGTACGTATTTCTTAATGACAGCGAATCTATTATCTTTTTTCAAGTGCTAGGCTCTAGGCCTGAAAGATCAGGAAGGTTATGGTGAGAATGTGAGGCGCCGGAATGATACACGAGTCTAACCAAAGACATACTCTGTCCCTGCACCTGATGGACGTGTCAACTTTACGATAGCTGTGATCACGATCAATAATACAAAAGATCATATATTTTCTCCCAGTTGATTTCCTTCATACACTTGGTCGCTGTGCTGCTTCTTTTCTCTTCGCTCTTCCTTGACGCTTTCGAAATGCAAGGAAACGACATTTGACGTTCCACCTCGCCACCCAATTTGGATACGGAAGCCACACTCCGCCTTGTAGCAATATCCGCCCAATCTATCTCAGGTCACGTCCACGCCTTCTAGAATAGTCGTGGAATAATCCACCAAGAGACTGAATATGATCTCGAAACAAGCTTCGGTGCAATATACGGAAACCGGGTCGGGCACTGTCGCACAATACACACATCTGCATCGAATGGAATTAGGAAGTGAGTTTGGAGCTATATAAACCACTGCCTACAGCAGAGGCGTCGAACTCAGAGGATTCATACAGCTCAAAAATCTATTGGCCTCACCATGTTCGTCAACGCGCTCACCCTTCTCGGTCTTATCACCACCGCATCCGCCCATGGCTACCTCAAGTCGATCTCTGTCAACGGTGGCGCGAACTACCTAGCCTGGCAAGTAGGCCAAGACGACTATCTGACTCCTGAGCCCATCCGCTACGCTCGTCGCATCAAGGATAATGGGCCTGTTCCTGATTTCACTACAAAAGACATAACTTGCAATGTTGGTGGTAACCTGCCAGCCAAGGGTGTCATACCTGTTATGCCAGGGGATAAAGTGTATGCTCGCTTTCTTCTTTTACCCCCTCACCGTCGCCTCCGTAACACGAACTCATGTCTTCGATACTAACCCCCATCAAGCAAACTTCAATGGGACCAATGGGGCTCTTCCCACTCAGGCCCCGTGATGAACTATCTCGCCTCCTGTGGCACCAACTGCTCAACCTTCAAAGGTGACACCGGAACACCCTGGGTCAAATTCGATCAAATGGGATACGATACCACTAAATCTCCTCCGTGGGGTTCGGATTTTCTGGCCAAGCAAGGCGCAAGTTGGACTGTGACAATACCTGCGGGATTGAAGGCAGGTGAGGTAAGTTATGTCTGTACGAAAGGCATATGGGATATACACTAACTTCGTGCCTTCACACCTGCAGTATTTACTCAGACACGAGATTCTGGGACTGCATGTTGCAGGGACGAGGATGGGTGCGCAGTTCTACCCTGCGTGTGTTCAAATCAGCGTAGGCGGAAGTGGGTCGAAGGCGTTGCCGGCTGGAGTTGGCCTACCAGGTGCATATGATCCAGATGACAAGGAGGGAGTGCTTGTGCAGCTTTGGCAGGTGCAGGCCGGGCAAAGGGGATATACACCACCTGGTGGACCTGTCAAGACTATTTAGGAAATCAAATAGAAGGGACAGAGGGAGCAGAGGGAGCAGCTGGAGAAGATAAACGAGGTAATCTTGCAGTGTGAAAACGAGACCAAGTTACCCTCTTTTCAATTACCTTTGCATGAATGTTCCAAGTCCTCATAGGGCTGCAACGAGCGTGTGCTCGAAAATGGTTAATTTAGCACAGCTACCAAGGTCATCATGTGTCTAACGTCCTAAGAGCGTGCCGCTAGCTCTACAGCGTCGTGAACTATTTCCTCAAGAGTTACCTTGGGCAGATCCAGCTTCCTGTTCCATACCTCTTGCTCAGCCTCGAAGTCATACCCGACATCCACGTCAGCACCGAAACTGATAGCTAGCAAAGGAAATGTTGCATTCAGGTCTCCAGCATCGAACTGATCTCGAAACCTTTTGATATCCGGACCACTCTGCTTCTCCTCAACAAGAAATCTGGTCTTCGTCTCCGCTTCTAGCGCGCTTACAATCTGTCTCGTGCTAGCCGAAAAGTCACACAAGAATATCTGCTTGTTCGCTGTCATGGCTGGGTCAAGTAAAGCTTTCGCAACTGCCAGCCCTGTATTCTTGCTGCTTGTGATAGCGAAGCGTCTCGTCCCAGAGTCGTATACTGTTGCCTTCCTCCCTTTCACATCGATACTGAGGAAGTTGCCGGACTTTGCAGGATCGAGTGCCCAGTCCAGCCAACT